GGCATTAGATTGAAAATTGAAATGGATAATTTTTGACAGTTGTTATAATCTCACAGAGTTTTAAAGCTGTTTTTAAAAGCTTTAAGCATTATCTATGAATGTGGTTTGGGAAATTATTAACTCTACCCCTGCCCTCCCCCCATCCCCCCAAAAAGAAAAAGGGTAAAAAGCATTATTTTCCATTAGCTATATAACACATATGCACTTAATTTTTCTATATAACTCCAATAAGAGATTAGTGTAATACATAATGAATCTGTGTGATTTGGACATGGTTACTAAAATGTCCACTCAAATAATGTATGTGATAACATACATAGTTTTTAGTGGATATTTTCACTAACTCCACATACTTAACATGTGAACACAGCACAGTTCTGAACTACTTATTCAGCATTATCTCTCTCTTTTTTTTGTTTTAGTTATAGAGCTAATATGTTGACTTTGAAAGAGGATGTTGAATAAAGACTGTTATACTTTCTCCTCTTCCCAACCCTGAATTATACAGAGACCCAATCCAATCAATACTAGTGGCTTGTTGTAATGTTACATCCAAACTTTGGAGTTACTTGCCCTCAGGACCAAAGTAAGTGGAGAAAGTCAAACGTAGTTAGGTACATTTCAAAACTATTAAGAAATGAGTATAATTGTGATGGATGTGTTACTTAGTTCAATGTAAGAATTTCACATGGTATATCAAAGCAATACCCTGAACCCCATAAATGCATCGATGTACAAAGTTATGATTTAATACAAGATAATTTAAAAAGTAAAAAAAAAAAAAACAAGAACAATTTAACTGGTACAAAATAAAAGAAAGAAATAGTTGCCCAGATGATTCTGATAAAGACCCTTTAGCCCCATCCATGGCACCTACTTATTGTGTGAAAAGAAAGGAGCAAAGACTACAGCATCCTAGAACACCAAGACGTTTAAAAAGAGATAGAGAAAATAAATCTGTAAAAACAGACAGAGACACATAAGGAAAATCAGAGTGCACGCATTATCTCTTTTATACAACAAGTATGTCAAGATGCTTTTTCAACCAAATATAATGCTACTATTTTGAAGTCTTTGTGTGAAAAATAAGAAGAAAGTGTATTTTAGGGGATAATATCAAAATATTCAATAAGCAATTCCACTACCAGTGGAAAATCACTGTTAATGTATCAATGTAACTGAAACTTAAATTGTTAGAATATGTAAAAGAATATGGAAATTTGGCAACAATGACACATTAACTAATAGATAGTAGAACATCTGCAATTTGACCACTCAAAGGACTGTAATAAACTGGTCAACATACAGAGGTGGTCACGTAAGGAACTAGGCCTACTGTATTGTTGTGGACATATGACACATGCCTGGTCTGTGAAAATTAGGTCACCTTAAGGAGGAGGTCAACTGTGGAGATTCTATTGTAATTTACTTTCAAATAATTACCATTTATGTTTGAAGTAGAGCCAGAGGCTGCTTGATAATGGTGTTTGGTTAGGCACAGTGGCTTACACTCTAATCCTAGCATTTGGAGAGGTCAAGGCAGGAGGATCACTTGAGGCTAGGAACTAGAGACTGACCTGGGCAACATGGCAAGATCCTGTCTCTATGAAAATTTTCAAAAAACTTGCTGGGAGTGGTAGCATGTGCCTGTAGTCCCAGCTATTCAGGAGGCTGAGATAGGAGGACCACTTGAGTCTTGAGTTTAAGGCTCAGTGAGCTGTGATAGAGTGAGTGATACCCTATCTCCAACAAAACAACAATAAAAAAGTATTTTGCAGATTTTGGCTTTTCTCCCTTTTCCTTTTAGTTGATTCATAATAATTATACATATCTAGGGGGATATAGATGTATAGTGATCAAACCAGGGTAGTTCGTATATCCATCATGACACTCTACTCAATAGTTCTAGGAAAACTGGGTGTCTGTATAAAGAAGAATGAAGCTAGACCTCTATGCCTTAGTACATATAAAAAAATCAACTCCAAATGGATTAAAGACTTAAATGTTTAAGATATGAAATCCTAAAACAACTAGAAGAAAATAGGCAAAGATTTTTATGGTAAGACTTCAAAAGCATAAGTTTTGGCTTTTGTCTGTTTATGTGAAAGAGGCAAAACTTAAGAACTGAAGTCCTTAAAGTAGTAGAATAAAAGAAATGAA